GCGTCTGGGTGACTAATTCGAGGCTAAAGCCTCTGAGTAAGTCTCATCGTCAAGCCTTTGCTACATGGACAACGTATATGGTAAAACCTACTGCAGCCAACTAGATTCAGTCTCCGCCGCGTCTATCCTGTTTCTATCCGTAATACCAAGTCTATGACTTGCTATGCCTTAGTCTCGTGTGCTAACCCATAAATGTTGTGGTAATGCTTGTTTGTATTAGGTTCAATGTTGAAGCACAGATTTTAATTTTTTTTAATCCTATATTGTCGAATAAGATGGAAAGCATTAATGAAATCTGAGCATTAAAAAATTTTATGCAGTCAAATGTACCTGAACTGGAACTGGCCAAAAATAGAGGTAGCGGAGCAGTGGCATAGTAAACCGGATATGCAGCAGCGCTGAGCCCTTGCCCAGCCTGACCTTGACCTACAGTTGCTGTCACGCTCTGACGACGACCACCAATACCAGTAGTGCTTGAAGCAAGTTGAGGAGCGCCATTAGCACGATTGGTCTGTTTTGTGCGCCGGCGCTCAAGAGCCATGATCCGCAGCTCTAACTGGCCCGAAGTAAGCCGGCCAGGCGAGACTGCATGAGGCCATGCAGAGTTAGAAGGCCCAGTAGCCAAACTTCGAGCGGCAGAGATAAGCTCAGTGGGTCGAAAGCAGATGGAAACGGGCTGTCGAGGCTGCACTCCAAAAGAGCATTGAGCCGGCGAGGCGGTATTAGGAAGAGAGGGCCTTAGACCGCTTCGGATACCAGATGAACGAGACGGACCAGAGCCAGCACTAGATGGGCGTAGCGAAACCATTGGCTCAGTACCGAAATAGGTAGGAGTTGAAATGCTTGTTTGATGACAAGGCAAAGCTAAAGCGCTGCTAAGAGTAAGCAATGCATCAGGAGGACATGCTTTACGCCGCCAGGACCACCCAAATCGAGCATACAGGCGAAGAGAGGCCTGGAAAAACGCATGATCAAATGTAAAATCTGAGACAGGAATAAGGATGGCCCAAGTGGATAATTACCTAAAGAGATTGGTATAAGCTAATTATTGGCATTAATAGGACCTAAACTAAAGAAATGGTAGCTAACAGATCCCAAAGCGCATTTCGAAAATGAAGAGTAAAAAATTAAGTAGTGATAAATCTAAAAACGGTGATAGCAAAACAATTAAAAATAATCGCATTTGTATAGGTATGAGGCTCATTGTCAAAATACAATCATTTGCAGATGCACAATAAGCCGTCGGTTAGCCTAATGTAGAAATTTCATATACGTTATCATAAAAATAAGAGTAATTAGATTAAATTGATGCTGAATCTATGTATACCAGCATTTCTGTGGACGGTGCTGCACAGGCTTCACAATCAACACTAGATTTCAAGAAGTACGAAGGGAAGGAGAGTCAAAAATGATATTGACAAATCTGATGACACACTGCACATTTTACTCGAAATGAAAGTAAGC